AGTGCCAAACAAGTCTACTGAGGAGGATTCACACTGATGGAATGTGACTGCAAGGACCATTCGTGATTGGTCATTGACCATCTGCTCAGGAAGTCTGCTAAATTGTTGCTTACTCCAGTGAAATGAAGGGCCATCGATGTCACCCCATTCTGATGGCGCCAAATTCCATAATGGCTCCCAGGCAGAGGGGCAAGGAACAGACACCCCCTTTCTTATGTAGTGCATGACTGTCATGTAGTCCTGGAACATCTACATTATCAAGTTTTGGAGAACAGATAGGAACAACATACTGGTAACTCTGATGGCTACAAGCTCTTGGACATTAATGTGTAGCTTCACGTAGCTTGGAGACCAGGTTTCTTGGATATGCAGATAGTCTAAGTGACCTCCCCAACTTGTCCCTGACACATCTATGATTAGTGTCTTTGTCAGGAAGGGAAGTGAAAAAAGGGAATTCCTTTATGCGTGTTTGGGGGTTCTAACCCCCAGATCAGTTCAGCAGTGATGTGACTTGGTACTAGGATCTTCTGTCTACTGTGTTTACCAGAGAATTGATTCTGAGCCAGAGTTAAAGAGGCCACAGATAAAGTCTAGCAAGTGACATCATGTACGTATATGTCAATATGTTAGGTCACGCTAGACTGTAAAGTATGTTCATACCATTATAGGTAGCTCTGATGTCAACAGAAGTAAGAGTCCTTGTACCTGGAATCTGTCATTAGGGAGATATGCTCTTTTTGATCTGGAGTCAATCCAGATTCTTTTGAACTTCACCATCTGAAATGGGGTAAGTACATTTTTATAGTTCACTGAGAGGCCTAGTCAGGTAAATAGGAACAGAGTGCTGTCCTAGCTCACTGACATCTCCATTGTGACCTGCCCCAATCAGCCAGTCACTCAAGTAGAGGTAGATGTGAATGCTTTGTCTCAGGTGCACTACTATCCCTGTGTGGCATTTCCTGGAGACCCTCGGTGACAGTGAGAATCCGAATGGCAATACTTGTACGGAAAGTGATTGGATCCCACCACAAATTGCAAATACGTCCCACAGGCTATGTGGACCACTATATGAAAATATGCATCCTGCAAGTCGAGAGCTACAAACCAGTCTTGAGCCTGAAGAGATAGAATAATGGAGACAAGTACTGCCATCCTGAATCTGAAGTGGTGCATATACTTGTTTAGTCTCCTCTGGTCTAGGATAGGAAGAAGACCCCCTTTTTAGTTTGGGATAAGGAAGTACCATGAGTAGAAATCTCTTCACCTGTATTCCTGTGGAACCCTTTACAACTGTTATATGAAACAATGAAGCCACTTCTTTTTGTAACAGACTTTGTGTGAGAAGAGTCCCTGAACAGGGACAGGGAAGAGATAATGATAGGTGACTATATCCAACATCCATTTTTCCAAGGTGATATCAGATCACATCCAATGGAACAGGACAAGGTGGCTTCCAATGGTAGCTGCTGGCTCCTGATTGGCTCTGATGTGGCTCCTGCCATTCCAGTCAAATCTCCTGTCTGGCGGATGGGGCAGTGTTTGTGACAGAGGAGGTGGATGAAGGACATCTCCTCTGATATTGTGACGGTTCTCATTGATGGCAATCTGGTTGTGTGCTCTGACAGTAATGATGTACCCATTAGCTCTGTTGGGGCTGATATTTATAGGATTTCTTGTAGGAGGACAATGTATAGATCCCTAGGGATCTCAGGGTGGCCCCTCAAGTCCTTTATGGAATAGAGTGCTTCATCAGCCCCTGAGTTGAACAGCTCCAAACCCTCAAAAGGGAGGTACATTGTGCCTTCCTTGGTTTCCTCAAAGTATCCCTCTATTTTGATGGGCTTTTCTTCCCTGCCTTCCCTCTCATTGGACTCCAGTGGTATCTGCCTAAAGTAACACTTGCTAAGGAAGATTCCTGGGATTCCTTGGAGGTTGATGTCTCTTCCAAGTCTGAAATGATGTGCATTGATTTCTCGAGCAGGTGTAGTTTGATCTGCATGTCCCTTGCCTTGTGAGTTCTCGATGAGAACGTTTACACATCTCAGAATTATCATGAAAATGACTTTCCCTAGACCGAAAAGGCATCAACTATGCCCCTTGACAAGGGGGATGAGCATGTTGCATGTCAGGCAGGCCTTAAACCTGGAAGGCAAGGGGGACGAAGGTAGAAGGGAGTCTTATCTGTTGTCTCTTGTCCCCCCCACCCTTTTTTTTGAATGCCCAAATTAAAAAATTGGCACAAGTATGTCAGTGAAGAAAGATTTCTTCAAGAAAAAAAAGAAAACCTAGTGTGGAAGGTGAGTTTGAAGCTCAAGAAAAATAGTGGTCGAACATTTGCCAGGTTGCATCTCAATTCAATAAGAGGAAACTGAGGGAAGGCCACGGCCGCTCCATCTTTTATGCCCTCACATAAGGGGGCGCAAGAAGATATAGAGCACATGCATAGTCCAACAGACACTTACCCAAAACAAATCCAATTTTTCACAGTAGGCACACATCCACCTACAGTGGGATCGACACTGACACATATTCGAAGAAAAAATATTTCACCCCGGTTATATTTGAGTTAGTTCAGGGTTTATTTTATTGCTGAAAAATATAATTTACATAACTTATAACATTTATATACCACCACTTTCAAAATATAAAGTTCGTTTTACAAACTGATCGTCAAAGTAACTCTATTTTACAGATGGGAAAGCAAAAAGGTAAAGTGATGTGTCCAGGGCTGCACAGTAAGTCACTGGGAAAAAAGCTTAGAACCTTCTGGAATTCAGTATTCTTTCCTCCATGATATTCTGTTTTATATGGGCATGTTAGAGTTGGTTTGAAAATAAGTTCTTACCCCTTGCCTAGAACAAACTATATACTCATGAAAATCATTACACAAAGGATACAAAGAACAATATCACTCGTACTGCTGACATGCCTCAAAATAAAATAAGGGAATAATACCTATACTGATATAGACAGCAAGATTACATAAAGTTTGCCAAAAGGCATTTACAGCTGTTGAAGACATAACAGAAGCTGATCTTGCCTGTTTTCCATAGCCTGAATGAGGAATAAAGACACTTTTTGCTATTCCAATTACCTAATCAAAATTAATCTATCTGTACTAGCTCTTCAAGTAAAAAATTGTTTTTCATTATCTACAGTAAACATTAACTAAGAAAAATAATTAAGAATCGTGCCTCTTTGTATCAAAATGAAAAATTATTCAAAGTTCATTTGTTGTGTCTGCATCTGCCTTTTCATTAGGTCCATATGGCAAACTAGTCTGAAGAGTAATGTAATAAATGCAAGTGTAAATATGAATGTCTCACAATTCAGTCAATTAAATCATTTGCACTCTATGCACCTGAAAGCACCAGAGACCTCCAGAGACCACATGGCCAAGCTAAGCAAACAGCTACAGGCAACTCTTGATGTTCACAAACTGACTCCAGAAGTCACTAAGGTATCAATACAAATAAGGAGGATTGTGTTTTTCAGACTATGAAGGAAAACTTAGTATCATAAAATAAACTGCACTGCCTTGGAACAGAATCAACTTTGCGTTGTCTGGCTATCTACTGAGTGAGTCTGTGCTTTAAGGCTGTCAAACCAATGAAAAGATTTGTAGTGCAGAGCTGCAGACAAAGGTGACACTTTACATAATCTGTGTCACTTGTTGTCTGGTAATGTTAACTTGATTGTTTTTCTTTTTTTAGCATTATAATAATAATAAAATAAGTTAATGAACCAAACAGGCAAAGACAGTGAATTCTGTAGAAATTTTCAGCCATATTTTAAATTGCACAAGCTAACATGCGTGAATCAAACTTCACTAATGGTTTATAATATACATGAGATGGAAAATATCAACTCACACTTGTGTTTTATCTAGATCAAAAGGGTACAGCTAACTTTTAAACTGATCACACATTTAAATGTCTTAAGTAGCAAATTATAAATTTAAATGCAAGGTTTATTAAAACCATAACCACCAAAATCCTCTGCCAACTCCCTATAGTGGCAAAACACCTGTCATACTATGTAAAGTTCCCAACCCCTTTGTATTATGTTGGACTGACATATAGTACATTCTTGCTTTAAAACAAACCCAACTGGAGAGAAAGGGAGAAAAAATAAGCTGTCAACTATACCGTATTTTCCGGCGTATAAGACGACTGGGCGTATAAGACGACCCCCAACTTTTCCAGTTAAAATATAGAGTTTGGGATATACTCGCCGTATAAGACTACCCCTCTTCTAACGCACACCAAAAAAAAATTAAAAACATCAGATTTGATTTCAATATGGTAATTTTAATTCAAATGCTTATGACATGCAGGTACTTAGCAGGAAAACTATCACTTATAAACATAAGGCTGTTTGTCATCAAACATGTAAACATAAAACAGTGCAAGTGGATTAAACTTTTCCTAATTCACTCTAAAGCTGAAAGGAAGGATAAGACAATAAACCCATGGGAGCTGCC